CACGCCTCCTCTGAAAAGCCAGCTGTGACGCTCGCCCTCTATTGGACCAATGGAGAAGCGTCTGGTGTTCCATTCTTGGCGGAGGGCGCCCTCTGTAGGATTCTGCGCGCAATACCAGGATTCCCCCCCCCCCCCAAAAAAAAGGGCGGGAAAGAGGACGTCTTTGGGGATGGGGAGGGCAGGGATGATGGACATGAGAGTGAAAGGAAAGGTAGCCTCTCAAGAGAAAAATGGCAGTGTCTTCTGAGAGGAAATTTCTCCTGTCAGGAAAATCAGGAGATTTCTATAGGTTTTTATTTCTTTAATTCAATATATACAGCTGCCATTCTCACATTTATGGCTCTTTGTGCGAAAGAATAACCGAGTGGCAGCTTGTGACATCGGAAGCAATGCTGAAAAGAAAGAAAGAAAAGAAATATCAAAAGAAAACCTTTCCAAAATGGGAGGAAAAAGCTCAAACTGGTGGAGCTTCCAAAAATTTTACCTCACTACGAGGCTCCTTGATGGAAAAATGAGGCAGGGAAAATGGCACCTCATTTGTGACTGGAGAAAATTGGGATTTATAAAATAAAGGGAAGAAAATGGGGAATTTTGAGAAAAAAAATAGTTTCACCCAAGAAAATCGCTTAAGCATATTTACATAAATCCAAGATAGGTAGAGAGAAAAAGAAAACAAAAAATAAATATTACAAATATCAAGATCTACTTCAGTGTCAATAGGTATGGGGGGGGGGCTTATTAAAAATACCAAGATCTATTTCAGTGTAAATAGACAGGTACTATAGATTTGAAAATCTTCCATATATAAAATATAGAGATTATATAATCTATTGTTATTGAGACAAACCATAAAATTAATCCAAGCTTGATAAAAATTGTGGTTCCTGTTTATTTTAATTTTGTAATCTCTAAGGTGTCAGTCGAAGAGGCTTTATTAACCCACGATTCAGAGGCAAGTGTTCTTAATTTAGAAATCAATGGTTTATTAGATAATAGAATTGGATTAAAGAGTATTTATAAACATGCTGAAAAAAGGAGATAATTGGAAAAAGGTCACTTTTCTCCTCATATGAACATAAAATAATAAATTCCTGATTACTGGTAATCAAATTTAAAAACCAGCTAAGGACAAAAAATCAGTGCAATTGAAGACCGCAACAGTCAAACTTTCACCAAAATTATAAGTCAAGAATTCACTTTTCTTTCAAGAGTTATAGTTTTGAAAATTACATCAATTTTTTCTTATGGCCAAAGATCAACGTAAGAGTGGGGCACAGACTAGCATAAAAAGTTACATCCCATTACTAAAAGTCTTTGAAAAAATTCAAAAAGAATTAAAGATAATATTAAGGTGGTGTAGGAACCTTACTATAGGTATAAGGAGCCTGGAAAACTTCATTGCTCACAAAACAGCATTCTAGAAAGATGAACTAGGTACTCACTCAAACCAGTTTATAGCACAGGTCATATTCTGTCCAATTTTTAGTGCTGCTGTGCAGAACCTGGAGAGATTATATGATTTAGCTTAGCAGGTTGGTATCTGGAAAGCTGCATGTGCTGTGTACCCTGGGTATTTATGCATTTATTCACGTGATCTTGATTCTATCCCTCTGTTTATGTAGCCTAGAATTGTGTTGGCTTTTTTGGCAGCTGCTGCACACTGCTGGCTCATATTTAAATGGTTGTCCACTAGGACTCCAAGATCCCTCACACAGTTACTACTATTGAGCAAGGTACCACCTATACTGTATCTGTGTGTTTTGTTTTTCTTGCCTAAATGTAGAACCTTACTTTTTTCACCATTGAATT